CAGCAGCAGCAGCAGCAGCAGCAGCAGCACCAGCTTCACATCTTCACCACAATGCGATTCAACATTTGGCATATATAACCACTACACCCCACACTTCTCCCTCTGCTGCACCAGGTTGGGCACCGGGCATTGGAGTGCCCACAGATGCAGGACGCAGGGGTGGCCTTTGTCAACGAGACCGACTGCTGCAAGGCGTCTTTTGGTAGCTCTGGCTGCGGCAAGTATTGCTATGTCAAGGATGATTCTGTACAGGCCCCCAACCGCCAGTGCAAGGTCATCAAGAGCGCCGACGAGTGCGCCAAGCTGCGTTTCTCGGGCCGCAAGCCATTTAGCGCGCTCGACCACTGCTGCAGCGCGCACTTTGGCAAGGCGGGCTGCGGCACGTTCCCGGACCGCTGCTATGCAGCCGACACGTTCAATCCAGGGCGCTGCGCGGAGATGCGCGGTGTAGCAGACTGCGCGGCAGCAATGGACCGGCGTGAGGCGTGGCGGGAGCGCGCCCAGTGCTGCGACTTCTACCGCTTCTCCCCCAAGAACTGCAAAAACCAGGCGACCTGCTGGGTGGTTGACCCCAAGTCGGCGCCGCACCGAAAGTGCAAGCAGGTCAACGCCGACGACTGCCCCCAGAAGTTTGCGGCTGGCAAGGGCTGGGAGAGCCGCGACGCATGCTGCAAGGAGGGGTTCCACGGCAAGGGCTGCCGGGAATTCCCTGGGACGTGCTACGAGATGATGCTGGACTCCAGAAACCCCTACGAGGCCTGCAAGCAGATCAAGGGCGTGTCCCAGTGCGCCGCCAAGATCGAAACCAAGCGCAAGGGCATCATGTTCTACAAGCATTTGTCCTGCTGCGCCGCCGTGCTGCCAGAGGCCGGGCTGAATGCGACGATGGCAGCCAACGCGAATGGCTGCCCCTTTTCGTGCTGGTCAAAGCCGGCGCGGGCTCAGGAGCCCCACCGCGAGTGCATTGAGCGCAAGGCCGACCCAAAGGGCTGCGGCTTTGACGTCAAATCGCGCAACCACACGTGGGGCACCAAGGACGCATGCTGCTTGGGCGCCTACGGCAAGCGCGGCTGCCGACGCTACCCAGACACCTGCTGGGTCAAGAAGCCGCCTGACAACAGCAAAAGTGGAAAGACAAGCCCCGACCGCGCATGCGTCAAGCTGACAACTCCACGGGAATGCGCAGCCAAGGAGGACTCTGGGGTGAAGCTCCTGGCTTCCGAGGAGAAGTGCTGCGCCACAAACTTTGGTGCTGGCGGTTGCAAGGCGTATCCAGCCAAGTGCTTTGCACGCCACAGCTCCAAAGGCCTTCCCGACCGCACGTGCGTCCCGGTCAACGGCAAAGCCGAGTGCGCCAAGGTGCTGGATGGCAAGAGCGGCGCGGTGACAAAGGCGGAGTGCTGCAAGGGGTTCAAGGGAGGCTGCAAGACGTTCCCCTCGACCTGCTTCTCACCGGCCCCGCTGGACTCAACCTTTCCTGACAAGGTGGGTGCTCTCACAAGGGTTTTTGGGGTTGGTCGACCAACCCCACGTGAGATTTGTACAGACCGTATAGATTGGAAGCCATCATGGTGGTGCTGCAAACGCACATGGCTGATGTTCAGCGCGGCCAGGAGGTTGCTAATGAACTCAATGCGCTGCTTGCCTTCCTGCTTGCCGACCTTGCTCTCGCCTTCGCTCCACAACATTTAGCCCCTGATCACCAACCACAGCTGCGACCTAAAACCTTTCGCCCTGATCCCAGGCCTGCACGTCAGTCAGCGACCCCCTCACCTGCAAGTGGGCAACTTACCACAAGACCAAGCACGAGAGCCGCTCCGCTTGCTGCGCCGCCCATCGCTGCGTCACATACCCGTCCCGATGCTGGTCGCGTGAAGGCCCTGCGGCACAGGGCTGCTCATTCGTGTCCAAGGACCGCGCCAGGTGAATGCGGCGTATTCTGGGATATTGGCGTGCAAGCGCAATGGCCAGGCCTGAGGCTGCTGTGCAGGCTAGCGCAGCAGGGGGTTCCATGTTTTGCATGGCATTTGCTGCCCTGAAACTTGCAAGTACTTTGACGGCGCAAGGGGCACATGATTGATACATGCAATACACCAACGCCTGCCGCCAATACACAGGTGCAAGGACGAAATTTCTCGCGGCGTGGCGTTCACCAGCAAAGTCGCATGCGAATGCAGCCACTTCAAGCGCAGCTGCCCGCCGCCCCACACAGCGCCCTGCTACCTGGCCGAGCGTGGCAGCTGCAAGGAGGTCAAGGACCGCGCGGTCTGTGCAGCCGCCCTGGAGCTCAAAACCGCCTGGAAGACGCGCGAGGAGTGCTGCGTGCTCAATTACGATTTCTGGAGCGAGGGCTGCAACGCCACCTGTTGGGTCAATCCCCAAAAGGTGGTGCTGCCGCCTGCACTCAAAGGGCTCGCGCGGCCCAAGCCGTCGCGTCCGTGCGTCCAGGTGGGAAGTGGGTGTGTGCTGCGCCTGACAGCCTGCACAAGCAGCGGGTTGCTTGCCAAACCTGTCAAAGCCTCTGGAGCGACCGAGTGGGGCGGCATGATAATGGAGTGGGTCCAAACCCTTCCCAGTGCACGGTGTCACGTGCTGCCCACCCCATGATCTGCAGGTTGGCACTGACCGCGGACTGTGCCACGCGCTGTGGTCCAACGGCACCGCATGGCTTAATCAGGCTGAGTGCTGCTCATCAAACTTTCCTCGCACTGGCTGCCGGGTGTACCCAACCAGCTGCTGGGTGCAGCACACAAACAACGACTTTTATGACTTTGACAAGACCTGCTCCCTCCAGGTGGATTATATCATGTCTTTGCATGATGTGCGCACACGTTGCAAGCTTGAAGGTGTTGCAGGGCGTGCTTGGACTGTGGATCCTTGCCAACCAAGAGAATGTCTGGTATTGTGGACAAATGTGCAACCCGCATCCATGTCATCCAACGTGCAAGTTTTGAGTCGTCCTCGAGATGGGTCGCAGAATCTTGCCAACATCTTACCCATCCACCTCCCCAAAACTGTCAGGCCCTGGGCCTTTCAAAGTGCGCCGCCGGCATCAACGACGGCACCGCCTTTGACAAGGAGGCCGACTGCTGCAAGGCGATCTACGGCCCCCAGGGCTGCAAGGTGTTCCCCAAGACATGCTGGGTGCCTGGGCAGACATTCCCTGACCGCACGTGCTCCCAGGTGGGACGACAGGCTTCTGGGCATGGTCCCCAAAAGTGCTGCCTGCAACCGAACCTGGCTGTATTCGGCAAGGACTGGGCCTGCGTGCAGCTTGAAGTTCTGCTCTACAGTTGACCTGGTTGGCCTTTCCACAATCACTGACCCTCTCCTTGTCCTATTGCTCTGCCATAATGGTGCTCCTGAACCCAAATTCTGCAGCTCAACGACAAGTCCTTCTGTCCAGAGAACATCAAGCTGGGTAATGCCTTTGCCACCCAGGCCGACTGCTGCAAGCAGCACAAGTGCAAGACCTACCCGTTCCCCTGCCACGTCAAGGGCGTCGCCTGCGAATTTGAGAACCAAAACGTCGGCCGCTGCAAGGACTCCGGCGCTCGCGGCCTCGCGTGGGCGACTCAGCAGGAGTGCCTATGTGAAGGGTTTGGCCGTGGCTGCAAGGGCGTGGTCAGCCGGGCATCTGGCGAGGACTTTGGCGAGAGCCAGGAGGGCGAGGAGGACGGGGAAGAGTGGGTGGCGGAACAGGGGCCTGTCAAGCACGCACCATCTGGTCCGTCCAGCTGCTGGGTGAGGGATCCCATGCTCGACCCCTCCAGGCCCGATCGACGATGCGTCGTCAAGGTGGGGGCTTGGAATATGGGATGTTTGGGTTTGAGATAAAGCGATTCAATTGATTGCAAAAAGCGGGGGGTTTGGATGACCCTGACGTCGGTGCTTTTGGCGCAGTCACAGTCATCAATGTGAGGGTGCAGCCAAGTCCAGAGATTCTTGCCTCACCTTGCCTTGCCCTGACCGCGCTCCATTTCACAAAAATTTAATCAACTCGATATCAAGCGAGGTTCTGGAATTTGTTCAAACCCTGAAAGGCAGAGCCATAAATCCTCACCTGCGCCCCTGCCCCTTGTCGTCCCCGCCCCCTCGCCCCCGGGGGCATGTTCCCTTAATCCAGGCGCTGGGCAGATCGGAGTGCGCTGCTGCTGTGGAGGCCAGTAAGGCATGGACAAAGGAGCAGGACTGCTGTGAAGCCATCTGGGGGGCCAAGGGCTGCCACGTGTACCCGCGAAGCTGCTGGGCCCCAGGGCCTGTCTTCCCAGACCGCGCCTGCACGCTGGTGAGCAGGCAGAGGTCATGGGCCACTCCGCGCGCGAACGAGCATCTGATAAGGCGGAACAGCCCCCCGTGCTCAGCAAGCATCGGCCTGTACACCCTGAGTCGTACTCTGCACGCGTCATTCTGCCGAAAACATCCGTAAGGTGAGGACCCATGGCCGCGCCACGCCGACCCTGCGCCCTGCCTGACCCCCCTGGCTTCCCCCAATGGCCCGGCCGCGGATGTTGCAGAAAAACGAGCCCAACCAGTGCCCCTGGAACATCGTCGCCGGCATCGCCTTTGAGCGCGAGGAGGACTGCTGCCGCTACCACAAGTGCCGCGTGCTGCCCTTCCCCTGCTGGGCGCGCGACAGCGACAAGCTATTCAGGTCTGGCGGCAAGGATTGCGTCTGGGAGGACAAAAATGAGATGCGCTGCAAGACGCAGGGCTCCGACGGCACCGCGGGCGCTACGAAAGCCGCCTGCATGTGCGCAAGCTTCAAGATTGGGTGTGGCGCGCCCAAGGGCAACAAGGGGCGGTAACACATGCCGCGCGCTCGGTGAAAGGGGCGTGGCATGCGTGTTGTCACGCCCCCAAGACCAAGCGCGCGTGCAGGCAGTGGGATCCGTATTTTTGTGTGTTGACCGTCTGATGCCCGTGTCGCTGTGGTGCATGCTGGTGCTGTGGTGCACTGTGGCAATGAAAGCGCACCTTGGTGCAATTGATGGCAGGTGGGATGGATGACAGGGGATGGCTTTCACACGTTGTTTTGCGGTTTTTTCCATTCAGTCAGGCCAATGAGTGTGTGTGATGCCTGCGTGCAGCCGTACATTATTGCAGAGCGATGACAGCCTGCGCAAGGCTTGAGTCAACTGCGCCAGCCACCCTCCCCCTTCCCTCGCCATGTAGTCTACTTATCAGGTCATCCTTGCCAGGGGCTGAACTTGCACCTCTCATCCTCGCTTTTGACCCAACTACCGTTGCTATTTGACGCCACACGATGTCTGTTTTGCTCTTCGGCGCTGCGCAACCCTCCTCTATCATTCACGAGAGTTACATATAGTTGATGCTGTTTTCCCCGTGTGATCAACATCGTATCCTGAACCCAATATCAGGATGAAAGTGCCACTCATCACTGCAGCAGTTGAGTTGCAGATCAAAAGTAACGCAAATGTCACCAGGGCGTGTGGCATCGACTGTTGAGTTGGATCGCGGCATCTTGACAACTTTCATTTCTGGCAAGGCTTGTGATGTCCATCATCATAACAAAAGTGGAGCCAACTAGGTGCAGGCAACAACCAATCTTGGTAGAGCCTAGGCTGGGAGCTGTTCGTTCCCTGGCGCATATACTGCAAGACACCGGAACAAGGAAAATTGTGTGATGATGCATGTGATGAGGTGCACGATGGCGGACCAAGACTTGGATGATGCGCAAGTGGGAGGCTACATCCAAATATTCTTGTGGTTTTCACAACGTTGTGCCGCCTGGATAAAGTCCCACGCAAGTTTGCGGCTTCAACACCCCGTCTCAAACGCCGCTGCTGGGTCCAATTGAACTCCTCGTCTGTCAACAAGAGAGCTGGCTGGTGTTAACATCCGCCTGTCATAACCGTGCAGGTGTGTAGACCGTTCATGCAATCCCCTGAAGCATGAAATGCTGGACTAGCAGGGCGTGTGGGGGGCGCAGGCGGGGAGGGAATAGGGGACAGCATGGACAGGGGGAGGGGCCTGCTGGGCCAGCACCGATGTGGCACAATGTCAAGCGCAAGCAGGGAACACGGTGCTTCGTCGGACGCAGTGTTTACCCATCATGCCGCCACGACTGACTCGTCAGCCCGCCTGCTGCATCATAGATGGCACATCTGGCGAGGTCACAAGCTTTGCGCGAAAGCAATTCAGCGGCCCCACCGGGCTGCAATGTCTGCACCTGTGCTGCTGCTCGGGCTGTTTGGCAACGCAGGGCCTGGCTCGCGCCGCTGCTGTGCATGTCGCACCCACAACGGCAGGTGCTGCTTGCCGCGACTTAATGTGTTCCAGTGACAGGGCGCGTGCATCGCGGGGATGATGAAGTAGTGCAGGGCGTGCATGAAGCTTGGACGACAGCCTTGACGCTGGGTGCGCCATCGTCCAGGCACATGCGGGGCGAAATTTTCATCGAGTAATATTTCACGGTTTTGTCATCCGTTTTGAAACGTGATAAGTGCCCAGAGAATCATCACATGCCCAGTAAGTGACTCGAGGGGTCAGGAGTTACTCTGGTGATTATGATATTCAGCCCTCACACCGCACCGAGTGGTACATATGGTACCTAGTTTGGGTTTAACGTAGCACATCCTTTTTAGAATCCCTTTCAGTCGAGTATCGAATTACGAAAAACAACGGTGACCACGTTCCACGCCAGCGGACACCAAACCGCAGCGATCATGCCTGCCCCGGTGGTTGCGACAGTACCAGGGGCCTTCTCGCTCGGAGCCGCCTGCGGCGCGGGGCTGCTGTTCCTGCTGCGGCGCCTGGGCCGGTGCAGCTTTGGCAGACATGCCCGGTGGGTGGAGTCCCCGCACCCCACCTGGAAGCCTGGGCAGCCGCAGCCGCCTCCGTACGGCCAGAACGCTCCCATGATAGCCCTGGACCCCGCCAAAGTGGACAAGCCCTCCATGTACGCGTTCTTCATGTCTGCTGTCGTGGTGAGACGAGGCGACTGCAGCGACACACAGCTCTCGTTTGGGCGCTCACATGATTCGGGCGCCCTGCGGTCGGCCACGGGCACGCGCCAGCTTTCTCGGGGTCCCCATGTGGTTTGATTGCAGGGGCAGCGGCATGCATGCGACCCTGCTCTCGTCCGTGGTCGCCACGGCGGCGGTGCCCGCCAAACGCCCCCTCCCCCTTCCCCTGCCACACACCTGCAGCCACGCCCAGTCGCGTTTGTTTCCTCCGTGGGCAGCACCACTGGCGTCAACCTGTCCCCCTACAGCTACTTCAACATCATGGGCCACAACCCCCCGACGCTGACAATAGGCATGTGCCGCAGCACGTCGCGCGGGGGCGGCAAGAAGGACTCGCAGCTGAACATTGAGGAGACCGGGTGAGGGGCTGAGGGGTCAGAGCAGGCTTTTTGGGTTCGGGTGGACGGTGCAGTTGTGAGGTGCTTAGTCAGCAACCTGAGCCGTTTCTGGCAAATCGCTTTCACTGGGTGAGGGGCAGAGGGGGGCCGTTTCAAGCAAGCAGTGGTGGCGGCGCATCTGGCACCCGCCGGCGCCAGCAACTCCAACTTCATCACTGTTGTAACCACCATCATCATCAGCGCCACCACCATTAGAAGCACGCGCCGGCCTGCACACAGGGATGCCGCAGTGCATAGTGCTGTTCCATGATTGATTTACATTGATATCAGTGGCAGCGTAGCAAGCAAGGCCACTCTGCAGCTGAGGAAGCAGCCGCGCGCCACCCCGCGCTGCCGTGCGCAGGCACTTGCTCGCCTGTCACGGCGGTCTCCCTCCAAGTTCATTGGGACCCCCAACCCCCGCTCACCACCTCTTGGGAAATGCTTGCATTCATCGCACGCTCTCGCCATCCCCTCCCCATGCTGCCGCTTCCCAGGGAGTTTGTGGTCAACATAATATCAGAGTGGTGCATCGAGGCTGCCCACCACTCATGCGGCGAGTTTGACCGCGGCGTGAACGAGATGGAGCTGGCGGGGCTCACCCCCGTGGACTCGACCATCGTCAGGGCTCCCAGGGTGGGCGAGGCTGCTGTGGCGCTCGAGTGCAAGCTGCGGGGGACGCACGACGTGGACGACAGGTATGTGTGTGTGTATGTGTGTGTATGTGCGTGTGTGTGTGTGTGTGTGTGTGTGTGTGTTTGTGTGTCTGCGCGCGCGCGCGTGGATGCGCGTGCGCGCGCGCGCATGCACGTTCGTGCGTGCGTGCGTGCGTGGGTGCGTGCGTGCGTGCGTGCATGCGTATGTGAGTGTGTAGGGGTTGCGGCAGGGAAGAACTAGGGGAGGTTCATGGAAGTACATGAATGGCGCGTCCTCTCTCTCTCTCTCTCTCTGTCACACACACACACACACACACACACACACACACACACAAACACACACACACACTCACGCACACGTGTGCTTATGCACCCGCACGCAAACACGCACGCACGCACGTGCCCGTTTGCTCGCTTGCATGCGCAACCACACATGTGCACACGCCGGCGCACTTGCGAATGCGCATGCCCACGCACACATGCACATGCTTGCACATGTATGTGCGCGCACAAACGCACAAGCGCACACTACCACAGATGAAGCAGCTCCAATGAGAATCAAACATGCTCGCGCACCCTGCCACCTCCCCTCTCTCAGCTCAGGCAAGCCCAGCGGCACCATCATGATTGCAGAAGTGGTCATGATCCACGTGGCCGAGGCCGTCACCGGCCGCACCCCCACCGGAAAGCTCATCGTGGACCCCGTTCTGCTGGCGCCAGTGTCCCGCCTGGGCGGGCTGACGTATGGCAAGACCCTCGAGCTCTACGACCTTGGAAAGCCCGACAAGAACGGGGTATACAAGTCAAAGAAGTAAACGAGGTTGGGCGCACGCGCCGCTCGCGGCGGATGCCGGGGGGGGGGCGATTGAATCGGCGTTTGCGAGGTTGGACAAGCGTGGGGCATGCGTGTGGCTGGAGACTGTTGCCTTTCAGCAACACAGGACTAATCTGAGTGTGTCGTGTCCCAGTGTTTTGTTTGAATGAGCTTTCCCCGATGGATAGCCAAGCATTGTTGCTAATAATGTTTGCGCGGTCTCAGCACACAAAATATTCCGGACATATTGCGTTCATTTGAATGTAATACCAGTTGATTGCACTTGCGCTCTCGGCTCTAGGCTAGCGGGCTAGCTGGTGCTGTGCGTGTGTGATCATCAGGCAGCCAGCCACCAAGTCCCCAGGCCTTGATTTGACACTGCTTTTGAAGCCATATGCATCGCAGCCTCAGAGAGAGTGATTCAGCTTGAGGTATATATTTCATCCAGAGGCGGCATCACAATGTTCACACCCACACTACTACAGCATCGTGCTCAGCCGCTTGTTTGGGGACAGGACAGTGGGCGATCGCAGTCGTGCACTTTCTGCTTTGTGACGGACCTGGTCAATCCATAAGAGTTATTATGCAGCATCACATCACCAAGGGAGACTGACAGCGTAGTACGTATATGCAGTACAAACTTCTTTGACCAACAGCGTGAATCGGTTATCTGCGTGCGCTGCCGTGGGGTTGCGCTTGCACGTATTCATACAGTGCGGCGCTCGCTCGGCCGTTGACAAGCATCCTGCAATTGTGGGTGCGGCCTAGTCCAGGCATGCAGGGCAGCACGTGACGCTAGACGAGGCAAGGTCAAGGGAGTGGCCACTCCCACGGGAACAAGCTACGTACCATGTTTGAGAAGGATCAGCAGCGCACCCCGGCCCCAGCGGTAGGTGCCCACGGCAGCAAACCATGGCAGCAGATGCGACGCCCACAGGCAGGCCGCACCCAAAACTGAAAGCACTTCCCCATGCTCCTGGCTGGAAGGGCGCTTGACAGCTACCAGCCTCTGTGAGTGGCACGCCTGCCCCGGGCGTCTGTTGAGGCCGCACCACGCATGGGTGGACTGCGTTACCCGAAAGAGCTGCCGTAAAAGCATCTCGCTGCCGCTCTCAAACCCAGGGTCACCCCTGGCAGGTTGCCCCACACCGCTCCGTCCAGATAAGAGCAGGTTACTAGTCAAAGAACGACATAGGAATGCATGCCAGTGCATGCAAATTTGTAAGCTGAAGTATCAGGCGGCATCGATGCACAGCTTAGCGACAAATTTAGGGCACTACGCCACATACAAACACCCGGTCCGGCGGCAGCAAGATCGCAGGCTGTGCACGATGGCGGCTTGCACATGCGTTCAGCGTGGCTAACTCGCTGATGGGACATAGGGAGCGCAGCTGCTGTAGTCAAAAGCAGCGCAACAGCAGCTCACAAGCGTGTCGCTCGGCATCCATTGTGGAATTACCACTGGTCAAAGCAAGAACAGGCCCACGGTTCAGATGGCTGCAAGCAAGGTGCCAACGTGCATACGCTGGAACAAAAGCGCACCAGCACCGACGAGATCTTAGGGCAAACCGCAGCTTCGCAGCTGAAACAACCTGGCACAACCTAGTTGCCAGTGCTTGACGCAAGCAACGGCTTCCACTAGAGAGAAAGATGCTGCCTGTACCCTCTGCTCGCTGCTGTGTACTGGTCGATGCATGTGCTGCAACGGGGCTCAACCCCATGGCAGACTTTCTATCACAATCAGCGCGGATGAGGGGAGGAAGCCATGCTGCCTGCGGCCAACTTCTTATCAGAACAGCAGCCGCCACGGGACCACAGCGGGCGTGGTGGTGAGGTACACATCACCCTTGTCGGCGACGCGCTTGGCCTTGCGAGCGTCGCGCTCCTGGAGGGAGGCCAAGTTGAGGAGCACTGCGATGGGTGTTGCAGGGCGGAGGCACACAAGTCAGGTGAGAATGTGATGGGAGGCAGATCGGGGGGATCTGACCACAACGGGCTGGCGCCCAGCTCAGCTTTCAAATATGCGCCAGGGGCAAGCCGGTCGCAAGCGGCGCCGTGGGCAGGCGCGCTTGCTCGTGGTGTGCAGTGTGTATGCGTGCGGGACGCATGCGGTGAGGGCGCGACTCACTGGTCCAGGCGAGAGGAAAGAAAGCCAGAGGCGCTGGTGGGGTGCCGCTGATGAGGGCGAAAGAGCTGTAGCGCATCCAAGCGCCAAACCAGTTGATGTGCCTTGCCAGGCGGAACGGGCCGCCCGTGACGGAGGCGCCCGGCTTGGCGCTCTTGGCCCCGTCCTTGTAGAAGTCTGTTGAATTGATTTAATATGTGGTTGGATGTGTGGTTATTGAAGATACACAGACAAGGTGCATTGGGCTTTCCGGTGTGCCGAACAGCGTTCTCGAAGGCTGCATCAGTGGCTGAACCGCAAGAGCCTTGCCAGACCGCCAAACCTGGGCGGGGTGGCTGATGCGCGTGCGCAAGCGACCGCGTGTCGACAACGCACCCGCTGCACAGTTGATCAGGCTGCCCCAGGCAAAGAGCATGATGGATGCTGTCACGAGCCAGGGCTGGGGCTCGTCGGTGCTCTTGAAGGCGTAGTAACCAGGCAAGGCGTAGCCTGAGAAAGCAATGCGTGCGCGCACATGCGTGTGTTGAGTGTGTCTGCAAGTGTATTGGATGTGTGTGTGTGTGTGTGTGTGTGTGTGTGTGTGCGTGTGTGTGTGTGTGTGTGTGCGCGCGCGCGTGCGTGCGTGGGCGTGCGTGCGTGCGTGCGTGCGTGCGTGCGTGTGTGTGTGTGCGTGTGTTAGCTTGCGTGTGAGAGAGAGGGTGTGTTTGTCAACGACAGTGTTTCGGTGGGTGAGAAGATGAGGCAGCATAGGTGTGCAAGTCTGCAGTACCAGTATGCCAGCAGGATGAGCAGCCATGCACAGCGCCAAGAACACCCCTTGCAGCACGTCTCACCAGGGCCAACGGTCAGAAAGGTGGTGAGGATGAAGGGGATGGAAAAGTCACCGGGACCAAAAACGGTGTTGCCCCAGGTGGGCGACAGCCGCTGGTGCAGGAACCACCAAGCAAGATAGGTGCAGTGGAGAGCAACATAGATCCTGCATGCAGGCATGGGGTGCAGGTTGCCATGTGTTGCTGAGCGTGTATGTTTGAGAGAGAGCGAGTGTGTGAGTGTGTATGCGCGCACGTATGCTGATGTGTTGGGTTGAGGAGGCTGCCACAACATCGGGCAACAAGGTCACACGGGCACAGCAGGCGACTAGTCCGCACTGTCAGGCACGTAAGCGTATTCATAGCAGCATTCAACGCTGGATAGCTACACTCTAGCTGCTGCGAGTCCTGTTGAGAGTTGCAGACTGCCCAGAGGGCGGCCCTGCCACGCACCATGCCCTTAGTGTCTGGAATCCGAAGTGGTAAGCAAACCCAACGATGCAAGCGAGGGTGGCCACCTGCGGGTAGGGCAGAAGCGGTGCAGGCGTTCCCGCGATTTCACCACTCAGGCGTTGCGAGAGAGGAGGCTGCGACAGCCTCTACATCATCAGCACCGCCAAGTGCTGATGATGAGCCAAGCCAAGTTTCTGGGGCTGCGGCCTCGAGGAGGTTCTGTTGAATGCATGGCTGATTCGCGCCCCATCTCCACTTGCCTTGCACGCATTGATGATGCTGATGAGGCTAATGTTGACCATTTTGGCCCGGCCTGGCAGCAAGAGGGTGCAACAGCGCAGTGGGGGAGCGGGTGAGGAGGCCACCACACACGCCCGGGGGCGCCGTCCGCTACGCACGCAATCAGCCGCTCTCTCAGTCTCCTCCTCCAAATAGAGAGGGTTCGATCATCACACCTGTTTCCGATGCCCCTTGGTGTGTATTGTGGGGCGCGCGGTCGTCCGATGATGATCGAAAATGATGGAACCAGGAGCGCGGTGTGGTGGCGCTGTTGCACGATAATAAGATGTTATTAATGCGTTTTACTTGACTGTGCCAGGCATCGACGGTGGTTGCTCTGATTTTTTGGAGAACACGTATGCTGCAATGGACAACCCCCTGCGCGGCCCACCATAAATATGATTTGCGAAGCATCTGTTTCATCAATTGGAAATTTATTACCGCTCGTCATCGCAATCGTCACCCGAGTGCATCATATGATCACCAGTCGCATAGCACAACACGCACAAGGACAGGCCACACAGCTCTGAACGATGCTGGAGGCATGGCAGAAAACGGCGCGGTTGAAAGCCACACCGATCACGTGCACAGCGAGGGGCGCATGGCATGCCGCCACCTGCAGCAGCAGCCAGCGGCGCCGGTGCATGCGGCCCCCTCATGCAGAGCCCATGGAAGTGCCCCAGGCCGCTCCTGATCTGCGTGCCTGTCAGCATGCACTACCCCGGCGCCAGGCGCTGCAGCAGCTGGCGGCCATTGGTGCTGCACTGTGCTCGCAAGGAGTTGTACCCACAAGCGCGTGTGCCCTGACAGTGGCGGACGTCACCCCTCCGGTCGTCGCGGCAACCCCTTTGCCGCCACGCGAGCAGGCAATTGTTGATGGTGAGACGCTTGGGCACACGCTGGCGGTGGCCGGTTCGACGCCTGTCAGCCACACTGATTACGGCCGCTCACACAAACATCGATTCCTCTCCTGATGCCAGCCCGAGCAGTGCGCCATGCGGTGCTAGGACGGCCCCTTTGCATGTGAATTGCGCGTTTGCCTTCGTTTTACTCCTCTACCATGCAGTATTTGACACCGCGACATACTCAGTGGTCAATGTGTTCGATGTTGCCCTCCAGGTTGGGGCAGGCCGGGGGGGGGGGGGAGCTTTGGCCAAGCAGATGAGAAAAGGGAGATTCAGGGCCCGATCGCTCGACCCCTTGAGCTTCTTCGTTGGTGCTGCGCCCATCCGTGCAGCTGCTGCCCTCCGGTCCCACACGGCAGCCCGCGGCGCGCCCCTCGGGCGCAACGGCGCCGCGCCGACCGGCCCCCACCCAATGCCCCGGCTCCCCGGCGCGCCGCCCGGCCCTCGTTGCCGCCCCAGGGCCGCGCCGCCAGCGCGCTGGACGTGGAGGTACCCGAGGGCAACGGCTCCGGCGTGGTGTGGGACGTGCGCGGCAACGTGGTGACGAACTACCACGTCCTGGCCAGCTCTATGGCCAAGCTGGGGGTTGACAAGGACCCTGGTGGGGGGGGGGCGTTTGGGGAGGGGGTGTTGGCGTTGAGCAGGGGGCGCTGGGTCTTGGGG